CTCCTTAGGAGGTGATGTCTTTGCACGCTTGCTTGCACCAAATTCAATGTCAACTGCCCTTCTCTTCAGCCGCTCCCGCAGTAGTGCCAACTTCATCTCGACGTCGGCTTCTGCTGCCTGGGGAGCCACCGAGGGGCACTGTAGTCGCTTGTGCTTCAACCTCTTGTGGGGGTTCCCTCCCCCCTTGCTCTTGCCTTTGCCTTTCGGCTTCTCCTTCTTGTCCGGATTCCATCCCGGGCTGTGAGGGCAGTCAATGGTCTTGTGTGGTGCCCTGCACCACTCACAGATGTGTGCAAACCCTTTGTCACAACGATCGTTCGAACACCCATCTGCTGCCCTCGACCAAGCATAGCAAATATTGATGCCTGCTTTGCTCCGGAAATACCTGCCATCCTTCCGCTGGGGATCGAAACCTGAGGAATTGTTCGTCTTCTTCTTGGGTTGTGGCTTCATCCAGCTCTGATCATCAGTCGTGCTTGGTCCAGCTGGCCTCGCCGGGACTGCCTTGGCGGAGTTCATCACATACAACAATGCCGGCTTCTCAAACTCCCTGGACCAAAACTCTGAATGTGAAGCACTGGCCCGAATAACTGAGTTCCACGGCTGATCCGGTACGAAGGCTGACAAGGCTGCATGTGTGGCGTGAAATGCCTCCTGCTTGCGTTTCTCTTGGGACCAGAACTCCGTCCTGCACCTGATGTCAGCTTGTGCAGCCAAGTGCCAAACATCCGGATGTTGCAGAACCCTCGTCCTGAACTCTGAGGCGTATCGGTCAAGGGAGGCTGCTGTAGCCATCTGTAGCATGAGGGCTGCTGTCCGGAAGATTCGCCATGACTCCTCCCAGGAATCGAGACTCGATGCCCCGGGTAGTTCAACAGCCTTCCATTGCCCATCATGCCACTGTTGTGACACGAACCTCATAGCCCTTGCAATCCTGTCACCATGTGGCCCCCCACACGCCCATGTCAACGAATGGTGGCTGCCCTGATTGAAGCTTGTAAAACAAACAACTCAACTGGGCGTCCGTCACTTCCTCTTTCTCGAGGGGGTTGTCACCTTCTGAAATCACATATTGAGACCTCATCTTCTGCAAGGTGGTGTTGGGTAACATCTCAACCTCGAAATCAACTCCCAGGTCGATGATTTGATTGATCTTCAACTTGAGCTTGGTCCCACTTGAACCTGCAGCCGAACTCTTGCTGGCAGGTGTCTCCGGTGTGTGGGTGGCGGTCGAGGCGAACAACGATGGAGCTCCGTATTTGACCCTGATCGCACTGAGCACCAGCCTCCATTGGGCCTTCTCGGTTTCATGCAACGACCTGTCACCTCGGGTGGCGCTACCAAGGGCTGCTTCAAAGACCTCGATCGGGATCACGGCCAACACTGGCAGCGCATTCAGCTCGGGGTCACCCAACTGACGAGCCACCGCCCTCACCAGACCTGCTTCCAGACCCCCCCACGTGGCTGCCTCTCGCAGCGTGGTCCACGCCCCGAGGGTTGCTCGGTCTGGAAGCAGGCCATCCATGGCTACCGACCCCCCCACTTATCTTCAATGGGGGGAAATCTGGTACCAGATGGCCTTGAGCCAAAGAACTAAACCCACCCATCCACCCTGAGGTTTACCACCACTCATTGTTACTTCGGCCATACTGGCCTACCCAGCATACCAACCAAACGTCATTGGCCTGCACCCACAACAAACTGAATGTGGAGAGATGTGCATAACTTCATAACATTAAAACGTGCGCAGCCGATAGCGCGGTTTTCCCTGCACTAGCAACAACATGGAAAAAAATATCGCAAAACAGACCTGGCAGCTTAGAAGTAACAACGCTTACACACTCCCGTAAGCGCTGAGATGTATCGAGAATATTTGAGAATCAGTTGACCCCGAAATTTGATGGACTGATCCCAACTGACTGGTGTTCTGCCGTTCTCATCGCCAGGCCGAGACTAGTGTCTCAGAGGCGAGGGCCTATGTATTGAGGTGGAATGAGGACAAAGGGTCTCAATTGCCTCCAACCTCATAGCGATGTGCCTCCACCTAGTAGCGTCCTTGTTTTAGTAGCAATGGCCTCCACCCTAGTAGCGATGGCCTCCAACCCAACAATAGCAGTGGTGTTTGAAGTGGAAAGCAGGTTTCGTTTGTTTCGCTCTTTGACATTTTCTTTAAAGTCAACATTTCAAATCCAATGTTTGCGCAGGCCCGACGTTTTACAGGGTTTCTCCACTTGCGGGTTGCTTCGTGGTGACCAGGTGCTTCGTCGAGTCGAAGTCGAGCGCGCCAGGGCTTCCAGTCAGATGAAGCTGAAGACAAAGGAGTGGATGGCGATGGATGGCGGGTCTCGGGGGTGGACCAGGTTGATGAGTCGATGATGCGTCATTTTAACTTTCAAGCTACATGCTTCACAACAACCATACAAGCTGGCAAGTTCGGTCCTAGATGGAAAGTCACAAAAAGTGGAGGTCCAAGCCGAGCGCGAAGGAGAGGAGGTCACAGTGGGCCTCTGGCAGCAGCTCTGTGCCTTGCAGCATGGACTTTCAGAGGTCGAAAGGCACGCGACGTGAGAAGTTCGCTCTCGACGGGTTTGGCCGAGACACGCTGCAGGGATGCGACTGCGCTTCCCGGCTTTTGCACGGTCACTGTTCCTTTCTGTCGAAACATGTTAGAAGCGTTCGGGCAACACACACACCCACCAGGGTGCCAAAAGCAGAATGTAAACTTCCAAGACTACGACTACGAAGACCTCTTTCTCTCCGTTCAAGATTGGATTCCAGTCGATGCCCAAGAGTCAAGACGTTCCTCGGATGAAACGGCGCTGCGACCGAACTGCCAGGAAGATCAGCAAGCACATCAGCCTTCAAGAGGATGGAAAGGGGATGGGAATGGGTTCTTGAAGTTGAAGATGCTCACTTCCACCAGGGTTTAGCAAAGCTTGCTTTGTGCTTTTGAGTTTTCTTCCAGACGGATTTTATCAGATGTGTTTCGCAAGGAATGCGGTGTTGTCTTTGAATAGTTTCGATTTTGGACCTTCTTACGTCAAGTCGTTTGAATTTGCTTCCACTCACTCCTTGGTGCTCTTTGGCCGAATCAGGCACGGCAGCAGCGATGTACCCGCAACCGCCACCGTGCCTTTGGCTTCGACCGTCGTCGGTGTCGCACGGAGGATTGATTGGACCGATAGGGAGCGAACCTGGCACTGGGGTGATTCCAAGACCCTCTAGGCCAAGAAGATCAAAGATGCAGTCGCCGATGGGCAAAAGCGATGTCTGCAGATGCACGCATAGAGAGTGCTTCTGGTCTTTTGGGATTTCTCCGAAGGTGCAATGAACGGACCTATGACCTTTAACCACAGCATGTGCCGTGTCGTGTGTGTGGTGTGTTGATGGCCTCCAACCTAGCCATTGCTTTTAGGTTGGAGGCCATCGCTATTAGTGAAACGCTTCAGGTTGGGTGCTCCAACAGCGCTTGCAGGCGACGTCGCATCGGCGAGGGAGCGGCGAGCGGCGAGCGGCCGTCGAGCCAGGCACTTCGAAGCCGCGCTCGTTGGCCAGGTGCCCACACGCTTCAAAGGCCTGCTACCGCCGGGCTTGGTGGCATGGGGGCCCAATAGAGCTGGCGAATTGATGATATTGATGTGCTCTATGACTACATATTATGACTCCATATGACTCATGGATGGTCCTTGGAGCTGGTAGTGACAGCTCACAAGATCACAAGAGCAAATCATTGGAACTCGCTTCGGTATGGAGTGATCACCATTGTAGTTCTTTGCACGATGTTTTGAAGCCTCTTTGGCCGTGGGGCATCAGGTATGGCTTTTCAATTTTTAAAGGTCTTCACGAAGGTTCCATGGCACTCGAAGATGCATGAAGTTGCTAGGTTCTCTCGTACGCGATAAAATCACTTGTGGGCTGACCAACTGCGGCCACACTCAGGTGAGCCCGAAAAACGAGGCGCACGTAGGGCCTGAAGCCGAACTCAGGGAATTGGGTGAACCGGAATGCTTGGAGGGTTGTGACTGCGACAGTGGCGCAGGAGGGTTGCAGGTGCTGTTTTTGAGACATTGTTAGACATTGTGTTTGTCGGATTTGTGGCCGGTTTCACCGAAGATTGCAGATCAGGTTTGCAAAACTGATTTTGTGACGGTCTCGTCTGTAACGCTGAAGACGAGCTTTTTTTTCGAGTCACTTTTCAGGTGGAAAGGTGAGAATTTGGACGGTCAGTTGCAGTTAACAACGGACGCTACGAACGGAGTGTTCGGACGCTGCCAGGGGCTGGCCTTACTAGGAACAAGAAGCTAACGAAGCAAAGGGCATCACCCATACTGCATCCCTTCCCCCCGTCGGCCCGTCACCGGTTTCAGGTTGCAGAGACGCCAGGACCGATTTTGCTCTGTGCATCGGTCTCTTCAGATTTGTCTTAGCTTCTTGCTCCTAGTAGTAAGGCCCTTGTTGCTAGTAAGGCACTTGTTACTAATAGCTTCTTGTTACTACTAGTAAGTCACTTGTTACTAGAAGCGATGCACTTGTTCCTAGTAGCTTCTTTGTTTTCATTTGACGTTTGTAGCTAAGAAGAATGCAGGGTAGGACAGTGTTCCGGAAGGCAGACCCCCAAAGCTTATATGAGATACTGAGTTATTCAACCCCAAGGTCTCAGAAACAACTCTTTTGCCAACACTTCGCGTCGATAGTTTTCAAGCTCAGTAAAGCACCTGTGATTGATGACAGAATCACAATGAATCATAGGACTTGACAATCCTTATTCAGCCCGCTCATCCAACTACTCGCCAGGAATCCTTGTCACTAGCCCTTCAACACCAGCCCTTCAGTGACACATGACATATATGGGTTCTCGACCTTAAACTTAGCCAGCTACATGCTAGCCCTACCTTCCATTCATCACCGATCACTATTTATCTAATTCTATTTATACACTGTATTTATATATCAACATTTCTATCAATATGTTTCTAAAGATTCATCATAGATGAACAAACATGAATCAACCATCAGTGCCCCAAGGATTGTTCGCGCCAGGCGGAGTCTCGCCCCCACAGCCTCGCCCCCGGCAGCGCCTACCGCCCCGCCGGCGTACCGCGGTGCGAGTGGCACCGGTGGGAGCAGATGAGGCACCGACCTTCTGCCTGGAGGAGCAGGTGGCACCCAGCGAATTGCCCAGGCAGGGGTGCCTTTTCAAGGCACCAAAGGGCAGTTGGGACGTCGAGCCTGACTTGATCAGGCAGGACCTGTTGAGGTTTGGAAGAGATCTCAATCCGTTTGAATCCATTTTCGCTCGAGGTCACTTCTGGCCTCCCCCGAGCGCCCGCCACGGAGCACGTGGAGCACGCGGAGCGCCTCGCATCGCCACGGAGAGCTCGACACGAAGAGCGACGCAGCGAGCGAGGAAGAGCGGCCGCTGCACGAAGGCCACGAAGAGCGAGCGCAGATCGTCCATTCGGACGAATTTGCACGAAGCGCTGCTCGGGAACATGGAAGTGTGATCAAAGAGGAGGACCAGGGGAAACGAATTCGACGTTGCTTTAGAGCTATCGAAGCCAGTCTCAGATAGTCGGTTACTGCATGTCGCCAATTCCAGGACATGCTGGAGCAGCTGCAGAATTTGGCCAATTCTTTCAGACCTGACAGCTCTCCATCTGACTCCTCTGCCTCTGCACCTGGTGAGCGACTGGATGAAGTCTCTTGACGCCGAACATGTGCACATGCTGATAGTCCACTGAGAGCGTGTTCATGTTTTTCACATCGTTATAGAATGAAGGCCATTGCTATTAGGTTGGAGGCCAACTCTCTTAGTTATAAGTTATAGAGTCTCTCCTTTTGACTCTTTTGACTCTCCGAAGCTGCGTCTCTGAGGTGAGTGGCCCATCGTTAGGACACCCGAGCAAGTCGGTGGAAGCCTTTGGATCAGGTGGTCAAGACGTTCAAAGTGACGTATCAGGTGGTCCAGACCGTCAAGCTCAAGACAGACCGCTGGTTTTTCAAGATCCTGCTGCACGAAGAAGGTCCAGTTCTTCACAGAGTACATCTCCAAGACCTAGTGTGGTCCATTACGGAGCACATACTGTCCAAAGTGGCATATCCAGTGTGCTTCTTCAAGCTAGACCTGTTTCTCAATCAAGACCGTCCAGTGCATCAAGTGCTCCAAAGCCGAGCACTGATCATTCCGATCCCCCAGTCGATGCTCACGTCGACGTACGTGCTGTGAAGGGTCGAAATGCTGTGTTTCACCACCCATCAGCACGGAGATCCGGTGGCAGCGGATCTCCGACTGAAAGCATCGATGAAGGGACATTGGACGCGCTTCCACTGGACATCCCGGGCGCTTCGGTGCAAGGACACAAAGACACTGAAGGATTATCCGAAGCTCCAAAGGGTGCATCTCCAGCCCCTAGTGTGATTGATTACGAAGCGAATCGAATCCAAAGCAGCATATCCAGCGTCCTCTCACAATTCAGACAAGCTGGCTTTCAAGATGGTGCTGCTCGAAGAGCTTCCAAGAGCACTTCTCCGCGACCCAGCGTGGATGGTTCGCATCCCCAAAGTGATGTATTGGGTACTCCCGGTGGCAGACAGACCGTTTTTCAAGATCCCAAAGCTGCACAAACGTCCACAGCTTCAACGAGTCGACCTAATGAAGCACTCCATGGTGCACTTCCTCAAAGTGATGTACTGGGTGCACCTGCTGGACCTGTCTCTGTCGTTCATCCTCAAGCTCAGGCATGCATCCGGACCTGCACTGCGGCAAATGGCAATGACCAAAGTGTGACATTGGATGGGTACCTAATAGCAAAAAGAACCTAATAGCAATGGCCTCCAACCTACTAGCGATGCTTTCGAACCTACGAGCGATAGCCCCCCCCTAAGAGCGATGGCTACATTCCCTATCCAGTGCAGCCTGGATTGACATCCTTAAGGCTATGTTCAAGGTGTATTGGGTACAGTAGTCTGACTTGAACACATCATCTTCACCTTTGCTCCATCTATATACTCTTGTTCCACTTGCTGCCAGCTACAGCTATAGTTAAGTTATTATGGTCCTGCTCAACATATTATTACGTCTCTGGCTTTATTGTTTGGCAGCTTGAATCGAAGCAGAGAATCGCAAGAGTTCCACTGCGATTTCATAGTTTATACCGTGTGTATATAGAGACAGACTGATAGATAGACAGATAATTGTTGTCTCCCCAGATGGACTCGGGTTTTGCACTTCCAAAGGCTATGGTCCCAGATGTGAAGCTGCACTCAGAGGACAGCGACAGCTTCTTTTTTCTTTGCTCAAGAGGTCCATGAAAAGGAGGGAATTTGAGGGAAGAAACGTGCCAGTTTATTTGGAAGATTATTGGACTTCGAAGAGATTGGACTTGGAAGATTTATTGGACTTCGGGAGCGGTGGAAAGTGCGGCCTGTCGCGATTTGGAGGACAGTTCCAGCGACTCTTTGGAGTCGGAGGAAGAGGATGAGGAGGATGAGGAGGATGAGGAGCCTTCATTTTTGGACATTGTGGCATTGTCGGTGACACATGTTCCCTCCCTGCCATGATGCTTCATGAATTTGTGGATGTTCTTTGCACGCTTTCAGAGGTGTTTTGATTGCCATGGACCTCCGGACTCCGGGAGTAAGCATGATTCCATATGATTCCCAAGGCAGGAAAATTGACTGGGAGATTGACTGGGTACAACCGTTCATCCACCAAGTTTGATTTCTGAAAGACATGCTTTTGTCTCTTCAAACCTGCCAAGACCGTATTTTGAAGCAGGACATGACGGAATTCGATCATGCAGCTGCTGCAATTGATCTGATAAAACTTGCAATGGATCTGTTTGCAATGTTTGACTTTTCTTTGTACCAAGCTGATCTAACTTTCACGCGGGGAGGAGGAGGCCGAGGAGGAGGACGAGGAGGAATCTGAAGAGGAGAAGTACGAGAAGTACGACATGGAATAGGACCTGATTGGATCCATCTGTCTGCGGAAAAAAAGGGCTCCTGGCCTTATTACTAGGAGCAAGGACGCTACTAGGGGCTCCTGGCCTTACTACTAGG